GTGTATTTGTATTTATATATATTATATTAAACGTATATTTATTATGTCTGCAAAGTTGACTGAACTAAGTGTTTCTTATAAACAGACAAATAATCTTATCCAAATTTGCTCAAGAATTTTTGATTAACAAAAAATTTTTATGTGCACCAAATTATACACTTATGAGGAGTAGCGTCAAACTTGTTTTTTTTTTTTCTGTATTTTATGACCTCATGTGTTTTTCTATCAAAATAATGTTTTTGCTAGATAATGATTATTGCCTACTGTTGCCGTTATTGTTGCTAAAAGAAAATAAAAAAGAACTCAACTTATTAACCAAAAGTTTCTTAAAATGGTTCAAATTTCTCTTTTAATGCAAATTATTTTCCCTGGCAGTAAATGACTTCGTTTCTGCTTTTTTTTTTTTTTTGAATAATGCTGGTCGGAAAAATCTTTGTATTTTTGAAAAAAAAATTTGTGAGGGAGGAAAGTAGGGAGGAAGGAAAGAAAAGACAGAGATTTTTCCAACCAGCATTATTCGAAAAAAAAAGCAGAAACGAAGTTATTTACTGCCAGTGAAAATAATTTGCATTAAAAGAGGAATATAAACCATTTTAAGAAACTTTTGGTGAATAAGTTGAGTTTCTTTTTCATTTTCTTTTAGCAACAATAAGGGCAACAGTAGGAAAGGGCAGGGGTAGGAGATGAACCATTATGAACAAAAGAGGATAATTTGTTTTATTGTTCTTGGTCAGTTGCTGCGCTTGAAATTCGACAAGTATAGATATAAGTTAACAAATATATATATATATATATTTATTTATTTATTTAATCACTTGCTTATCTGTATCGTAATCGGCTGAATTTTGTACTGCTGTTCGATTCGACTGACGCAAAGGTATGGTGGCTAAAATAATATACTAATTGCAATTATTCAAGGTTAGAAAAGAAGAAGAGAGGAAATTGAGGTTATGTCTTAAGGTATTTTTTCTTCAAGTTTTTTTTTAATTTATATAAAAAATTTTGATCAATTTATGGCAGATATGTGGTAAATTTGAGTCATCAGTGGCGATTGACAAGAGCTGCTTGATTTTGATTTTTTTTTCCCTAAACTATGTTGAATTTATGCTGGACTACTGTGGCCATAACCGAAATACAGTGCATATCAATGATGGTGAGGTTATTTGTATCGCCCACCCTGTTTTTGGTGATTGTCATATTGTAATTGAAAAATTTGACTGCCCAAACTGTATGTATGATAAATTGGTTACAGAAGAAATTACCATTTTTTTCATCATCTTCATCATCGTCTTCTCTCGTTCGCCATGTTCTTTAACGAAATAAATTTCTTTAAAAAAAATAAATCTTTAATAAAAAAAAGTTTTTTTTATCTCTCTTTCGCGATTTTGCTCCATTATACTGCCAATTAAACAGAGTTTTGTATGATTGTCAGTTTGAACAGTAAATTCCCTTTTTTTTTGTTCTTCAACAGTCATCAGTGTATAAATTTGTCATCATTGGTGCAGTACAGGTTACATCAACATATTCAGTTTTTGTTCATTTTATTTTAAAAAAATAAAATAAACAAAAGAGAAAGATGACAACAATGAAGAAGAATAGGAAAGAACGAAAAAACAAATAAACAAAATAAAGAAAAAAAACCTTTTTTTTTCAATTTTTTCTTCTCTTCTCATTTGTTACATCAAAGTGTGACAGCAATTGGCAAAAAACGTTTCTTTTTTTGCTTCTGCACAATCCACATGATTTCCGTTGTCACTTTTTTTCTTTCGTTTTTATTTCTTTATTCCACTTTCTTTTCAAATTTTTCCTTCCTTTAAGCAGTTAAAATAATATTCTAAAAACGAAAGAAAAAAAAGAAAAAAAAGTTTTTGGGTTGTTTTAGCTGTGAATTCTTCCAACTGCTACTACTGCTACTACTACAGGTACTTCCACTATACTTGCAGAGAAAATGCATAAAAACAGGAGTAAAAACCAGATTTTTTAAAAACGGGTGATAAAAAATTATCGTCTACTTCTGCTCCCCATTCTTTTATGGCTCAAAAAAAAAACCTTTCACTCGTTTTGTTTACTTTCTGTCCTCTCTATTAATCGATCTTCTGAAAGAGAGAGTTGGAAAAAGATGTAAAAAAAGGGAACAGAAACTATTCTAATTTGGTTGAAATAGTAGTACATCGGGTAAAGAAAAAAAAGTTCCTTTTTTTTCGCTTGTTTTAATTTTTGTTTCAGAAAGTAATGATCAGCAGAAAAAAAATTGCAAGAGATTCACCGATACCACTTACATCACCGTTAGCGAATTTATTGCACCACGTTTTTGAAATTGCCGCAGCAGCTACCGCGTATTCCCGCCGCACTACCGCTGTCGCCACGTTACCGCGTCACCGCACTACCACCGACATCAACACTGCTGTGGCACTGCTGTCACCGTAGCTGCCGCAGTACCCGACAAGTTTGCGGCAGATAATACCAAAAGCTCTTTTGTGCGTGTGTTGTCTTTATGCGTGTGTGTGTCGCCGTATCAAACAACTAGCACTTTAGGCGGCATCCATAACTTAAGTTCATTATCTGTCTCCATGTGTAAGCGCCAAAAATGTTTCAAATCAGATCAACAGTTCAATTTTTCTTCCTCTCTTGATTAATCTTTCAGCGACTGAAAGAAAAAATTGTTTAATTTAAAAGTTTGTGAGTATAGCACTTTTATTTTCTTTTTCT